AGGATTGGAATTGATTTATTTATGATCTGTTCTGTGACCCTGAACTAATTGCCTCCTATGTGAATTCTCACAGATGATGTTCCTGTAGTTATCTATTAAGGCGAGAGAACAGCCTGTCTGTCTGTCTGTCTCCAGCCACCTGAAACGTGATGTGTGTATCGAAGAGTTGTACATTCTAAGCCTATTCTGACTTTTAAATGGAATAATTAATTTCAGTTAATTAAATTCCATCGGGAGCTGAAATACCATACCCAGTCATAAGGCAGGCAGCTTTCCTCGAACCAGTAAAGGTCGGCCCAGGACACTCTCTACCATAGCCTGTTGGATGCACCGTTTGCTACCGTCTTTGTGGGCCTCCTTAAATGCCATATAGTGAAAAGTTAGATAGATGGGGGGGGGGGGAAGAGACCTTCTCCTTGGGCAAATGAGCAGAGCAAAAGATTGAACGAACAGTGAGGAACCAGCAAGAATGAAAAGAGATGGGAAGAAGAGAAATAGGAAAGAGACAGAGTACAAAGATGGAGCTTTATGGAAGTGATATATTTTTTTAAAGACCACAATATTTAGCATTTGCATAGCAATTTTGAGTGACTGTTCCACAGGATAGGAAACAGGATGGTGTGTAGCCTGGGCACCAAGTTCTCCAAAGAGCAATTCAAAGAGCTCAGTATATTTATTATTTCTCTAAAAAGCATTCCCCAAAAAACACCTACGTCAAAGAGGCAGCTCATATGGAATCTATAAAAGCTAGTCCCCTGCCTGCAGGTGTAAAATCTGAAAAAAACATGACACGAGAGGAACATGATAGATTTCTACTTCCCATCCAGCTTCTTGGCACCTGCTGAATTGAGGGAGGAGCTTTCGTAAAAGTTTACCCAGGAGGAGGTAAAGGGCTGGTCATAGAGAAGGTGCATCATTATTTCTGTTGCTCCAGGGGACGAAACTAGAACGGGTGTCTAGAAATTACAGGGAAACAGATTTAAGCTAGGCCTGAGGAGAGACGTTCTAAGAGCATAAGGCCTTTGAGAAGGCATTCGACTCTTGGAAGTGGGTGGGCTCTCTTTTATGTCATGAGAATGGCTGGTGGTCAGGATTCCAAAAGATCTCCTGTATGGAGAATTAGTACAGGGAAATCGCCCCAGAGGGAGACCACAGATCCTGCAAGCGTGATCTGAAGGCCTTAGGAATGGACCTCAACAGATGGGAAACCCTGACATCTGAGCGTTCAGCCTGGAGGCAGGCGCTGCATCACGGCCTCTCCCAATTTGAAGAGACCCTTGTCCAGCAGGCCAAGGCAAAGAGGCAGTCCCGAAACCAGCAAAATCAGGGAGCTGGACAGGGGACAGATTGTATTTGCCTTCAGTGTGGAAGGGACGGTCACTCTCGTTTTGGCCTTTTCAGCCATACTAGATGCTATTCTAAGACCTCTACTCGGAGCACGTTACCACCGTCTCTCGAGACTGAAGGATGCCTACACTAGAAAGCAGACTAGATAGGGTCAGAGATGCTTCCTGTACTGCCAACAGGTTGGAGCAGATGATCTCCCAAGACCCCGTTCAACTCATGATTGAAACAAACGGTAAAGAAAGCCAGTGCCTGAAACATTTAGTTCCGAACTGCCAGATTCACAATTCAGGGGAAAGCTTGGGTTAAATGTACTAGACCTAAGACTTCTTCTCTTTCAAATCCTAATTATTTAAGAATTGTATATTTAATGTGTACTGCAGTGGGGGAGTCTGACAGTTCAGCAAAGGATTACTGGGGGCGGGGGAGCCTCAGCTCTGTCCACCAACTACCATGGGTTTTTTTGAGAAAAGAACCATGTGAAGTATATTTCAGACAAATCTTTAAACAAAACACCATTTCTTGGACAAAAAAAAGCTTAAAACGATAACAGTGATTTATCAAAACAACCTTGACTGAACAGAAATTTCCTCCATTACAAGAGGACGGGAAAAACATCAATCAGTGCCTCAATCAGCAGTAATCACGGGCTCTTCTTAAGAAAGCTGTCGCTACACCCCCCCTCCCCATCATCACCCCATTTTCCATGTGGCTAAGCTGGCGTGCTCAATATGTCAAACCCCCCTCCCTCTCAGCCGGCGCGGCAAAGACGTAAGCAGCTATTATTCCCAAACGAAGCATTTGCTTGTTGACATCACCCACGGTAGCCATCCTTGTCTGCTTATGTCTCTTGCACCCGATTCCTTTGTCTGAGTCACTGCACCAGCTCCCCTCCCTCTACCCCCCCCGCCTGCTTTTGTTTCATCTTGGCAGGAAAGCTCACCCTGACTCATGGACTCCGAAATCCGACAATATTCCCAAAATGGAACCTTTTGAATATTGTATTAAGCAGGCAACCCCTTGATCATCCAAGGTGCTCCAAAAACGCCAACCGCCAGCTTTGGAAAAATGCACATATGCATCCCGTAATGGAATCCCCCCCCCCTTGCCCTATCCTTGACCACAAAGCCAAGCAAAGCTGAAAGACACATTTTCAGAATAAAAAGAACTGGAGACTCCTGGCTCACACTTTACTCTGCTGCCACCGCCTCCTCCTCGTCTGTGCCTGCAGATTTTATCCATATGTACACATGAAGTTGCATAACATCTGTTAATGGCACAGGTATAGCATGACAAAGCAGCACGTCTTCCTTCTTTCTCACTGAAAAAAAAAAGCCACACGGCCTGCAGCATACATTTGAACAAAACGGGAGGGTCTACCTCCTAATACTTTCAAAAAGATCACAGCTAACGCCCTACCTCTGTGTCTGCTATTTATTAATTGATACACACTCCCCGTTAGCCCACCAGCTGAAAGTCAAACGCTTGTTAAGCCTCCTTTTTTGAAGTTCAGATCTCCTGCTGTGCCAGGTGGAGAGACAGTGTGGTACAGTGCTTATCACATTAAACGAAGGCCGGGAGGACTCAAGTTCAAACAGAGCCTGTTCATCTCTAGCAAGTGGTACCCCCTCCCATCATACACAGGTCGCCCATGCGTTATTTTACGCCCCAGGCCTGTAGAGCATTTTACGCTCACAAGATTTCATGCTCTACCCTCCTCTTTACTCCAAGGTAGATTTCAGGAAACCCCGCGCCAAGAAAGATACTGCCACGGGGAGTTTGGGCACCCGAATTTTTGTCACATACCCTTTTACACTATACACTTTATGAACAAATTCAGAGGGGCCTCATCCGTCCTTTGTGGCATAAATTCTGAGGTTGCTCCGATAAGCTGCTGGTCTTGTACTGCCTTGTCAGACGAAAACTCTCACATAACAGCCCAGGTTGCTAAATGCCTCCTGGCTGCGATTTGTTTTTTCAAAAAAGGCCTGTATTATTTGTAGATGTTTGAATATTCTATGTGTTTCTTTGCTTTTCTCTCTTTCACATTGAT